TGACTAGCTCCAAATCTGAGCTTCACAATGTCTTTGTCTATGGTAGCTTTCAGGAACCTGACATCGTCAACATCATGCTTGATCGTACTCCGGAGGTCATCTCTGCAACACTCCCTGGCTTGTACGTCTCTTTCTTTCTTTCTCCATTTCTAGATCTCTTGATTGATTAATCTCTTTATTTAGATCTAAACATTTGATGGTGATTTTGGGAGTTTTTTTTTCAGTAAGAGGTTTAGGCTTAAAAGACGTTTGTATCCATGTATTGTGCCATCTGAAGCAGGAGAAGTCCATGGAAAGGTTTGAGTTTTGTGAAATTCAGCTACTTTTTGTGTATAGATCGTGATTGGGAATTTCAGTTTCACTTGAAGTGGGTATTGAGGAATTTGATGAATTGTTGTCAGACTCGCAGGCTAAAACAAATGATTCGAGCCACCAATTTTTTTCTTTGGACAAAATGATTCGAGCTACCAATTTTTTTAGGACCATTTTTTTTTTTTGTTCACACTTTTAGGACCATTTATTTATTTTTAGAGTAATGGATATATTCATTATTCACATCAAATTCGTTGGCTTCTATTTGGCTAATGCGATCATGATGGAATATTTTTTTATTGATTAGCCAATATGTTTATTTGTACAAGATCATAATTTATCTACCAAGTTCTTTACCATAAACACAAATATTAATTAGGAGAAATATTAATTTTTCTACTAACTACAAGAAAATATATTCAATTAGGTGATCTTGTAATCTCCAAGATTTTCTAACACTATTAGATTATTGCTTTTCTAGTAAATATGCAGTACAACCCTATACACTTTTTTAAGTTAATACTATTTGAGATTTTATTATTCTATCATCGTTTTGATTGGACGGGCCTTGATTATTGCAGGTACTAATTGGATTAAACGATGAAGAACTTGGAAANTTAGATGCAGTTGAGGGTAATGAATATGAGAGAGTGACTGTTGGAATTGTACGGAAGGTAAGTTTCAAGATTTGATGATTTCATCTCCAAAAAAAATTATAATCTGGATGGTTTTCATGAGATTACATTCTTGATATATTTGTTTTGCATATGCAGGATAATTCCGAGAAGATGACTGTGGAAACATATATATGGATCAACAAGGCTGATCCTGATATGTATGGAGAATGGGATTTCGAGGTTTGACTGAACAATTTTTATCAATGATGAGAAAATAATCAATATATGATCCAATTGTCCGATTCGATTTTTTTTTTCTTTTGTTAGGAGTGGAAACGGCTACACATGGAGACATTTAAAAAGACGATTAAGGAAATCATGGAATTGAAAAAGAATTATCAGGGACAGGGAATAGATGATTTCACCCTTATCCTTCACAAATACCTCGAGTGTGCTCCATCATCTTGATTGGATATTTTTGTGTTGAGTATATATATATGTTCTATATGTCACATTTGTTTCTAAACTCCAAATTCAATAAAGCCTAGAGCAATAGGTATTGTGGAGAACACAAGGAACGTATTGTAATATCATGTGTAATTGTAAGACTTGAGTACTTATTTTGTGGACTGTTTTATTGTGTTAGAATTCTCTTGGAGATTCTTGACATCAATATATTAGTATGCTGCCTTATTATCTAAATGATTAAACAGGTTGACTAATCGATACTAACATACATAGTTTTTAATATTTAAACGTGTATGACAAACTATGTGATTTCTAATATTTATAAACGTACACAAATGATATGTATTGTGTATAAATGTAATAAAATAAAATATTTTGATCAAGTATATATGTTGATGTCGTTAGTTTTAATTGAAAATGTTATTTATTTCCATATCTTTTACGTGTAAAATTGATTATCATTATTCGTGTAAATTATTGAACATATTTTTAAGTATAAATCATATAGTTTTTAGATTTATATGAATTTTTCAGGCATAACAAACGAAAAAATATGTTTTCC